GTTTCGCTTTTGTTACCCAGGCTGGAGTGCAATGGCGCGATCTCGGCTCACCGCAACCTCTGCCTCCTGGGTTCAGGCAGTTCTCCTGCCTCAGTCTCCTGAGTAGCTGGGATTACAGGCACACGCCACCATGCCCAGGTAATTTTTTTTTTTTTTTGTATTTTTAGTAGAGACGGGGTTTCACCATGTTGACCAGGATGGTCTTGATCTCTTGAACTCGTGATCCACCCGCCTCGGCCTCCCAAAGTGCTGGGATTACAGGCGTGAGCCACTGCGCCGGCTACTGTTTTTTTTTTTTAAAGAGAGGGTATTGCTCCATTGCCCAAGCTGGAGTGCAATGGTGCAGTCACGGCTCACTGCAGCCTCAAACTACCAGGCTTAAGCGATCCTCCTGCCTCAGCTTTCTGACTGCTGGATTGCAGGCGCATGCCACCACACCTGGCTAATTTTTTGTATTTTTTGTAGAGATGGGTTTCGCCATGTTGCTCAGGCTAGTCTCCAACTTCTGGGCTCAAGTGACCTACCTGCCTCGGCTTTTCAAAGTGCTGGAATTGCAGGCATGAGCCACTGCATCTGGCCCTTATCCTTCTTTTGGATGACTAATATTCCTTTGTATATATACACCACATTTTGTTTATCCATTCATCTGCTGATGGCCACTTGGGGTGTTTCCTCCTTTTGGCTATTGTAAATACTGCTGCTGTGAACATTGACATGCAGGTATCTGCTTGAGTCCCTGTCTCAATTCTTCAGAACATATGTAGGAGTGGAATTGCTGGTTTGTATGGTAATCGTGCGTTTAACATTGTGAGGAACTGCAAACTGATTTTCCAGGAGCTATAGCACGTTTTTTTTTTTTTTTTTTTAAATTTTTTTGAGATGGAGTTTCGCTTTTGTTGCCCAAGCTGGAATGCAATGGGGCAGTCTCCGCTTACCGCAACCTCTGTCTCCTGGGTTCAAGCAGTTTTCCTGCCTCAGCCTCCTAAATAGCTGGGATTACAGGTATGCGCCACCACATCCGCCTAATTTTTTTTGTATTTTTGGTAGAGACAGGGTTTCCCCATGTTGGTCAGGCTGGTCACAAACTCCTGACCTCAGGTGATCCGCCTGCCTCAGCATCCCAAAGTGCTGGAATTACAGGCTTGAGCCACCAGGCCTGGCCTAACTCAGCTCTTGAGTTCCCTGGGTGGTGAGAAAACCCCCTAGGTTTCAGGCCAGTCAGTCAACCACACTTCACTTGCTCCATTTCCAAATGTGGGTGAAACTCTGTCTCTACTAAAAAAAAAAAAAAAAGGCTAGGCATGATGGTGGGTGCCTGTAATCCCAGCTACTTGGGAGGCTCAGATGGGAGAATTGCGTGAACCCAGGAGGCAGAGGTTGCAGTGAGCTGAGATTTCTCCACTGCACTCCAGCCTGGTCGACAGAGTGAGACTCCGTGTCAAAAAAAAAAAAAAAAAAAAAAAAAGATTGTTCCTAGGCCCTCTTCGAAACTTCGCTTTCTTTGGGTTGGGTGTGCCATGGCAGACCTGGGTGGGGCTTTTGAGAACAGAGTGCAGAAAAGAGGCAGTACAATGGGAAGGGCTTTCCCAGCTCTGGAGATAGGATAGGAGAAAGGTTAAAAGGCTCTTTGCTGGGTCATCTCTCAGGTTCCTGGGGCCATCAGAGTGTCTAGGACCCAAAGGTGGTTTTTGGATGGTTCTAGGGGCAAGGGGCTAAGCCATGGCACTGGCTGTGCCTGATCATCACCTGTCGAGTGACCAGCTTAGCTCCCCAGGGTCCAGCCATTGAGCTAACTACTGCCTCCACCCTGGGAAGTCTGAGCTGGCCAGGACTTGGCATCCAGGCCGTTATTTGGCCTTCTAGTACTCACAGTGTATTCTGGTTGGGTTGTAACTTACCTTTGGTACGACTTTTCTCATATCTTCAGAGAAGATCAAGAGATAAACATAATCTGAAAAAGGACAAAGAACTCTTAAAACTCTGTCATGGCCGGGCGCGGTGGCTCAAGCCTGTAATCCCAGCACTTTGGGAGGCCGAGGCGGGTGGATCACAAGGTCAAGAGATCGAGACCATCCATTGCACTCCAGCCTGGGTAACATGAGTGAAAATCCGCCTCAAAAAAAAAAAAAAAAAAAAAAACTCTGTCATAAGAAACAAACAACAAATAACACCGTGCATCTCTTAGAATGGCTGTGAAATCCAGAACACTGCCAAATGCTGCTGAGGATGTAGGTCAACAGGAACTCTCACTCCTTACTGGTGGGAATGCAAAATGGTTTACCCATTTTGGAAGACAGGCAGTTTCTTTTATTTATTTATGCATAAAAACTTTTTAACAAAGAAAATGAGTCACATTCTTGCCCAAAATGGAATGCATAAGTGTGATCATAGCCCACTAAATCCTCAAATTCCTGGGCCCAAGAATTCCACCCTTCTTAGCCTCTCAAGTAGCTGAGACTACAGGTGCACACCACTATGCCAGGCTAATAGTATATTATTATTATAATTTTTTTTTGAGATGGAGTCTTGCTGTGTTGCCTAGGCTGGAGTTTAATGGCGCAATCTCAGTTCATTGCAACCTCCACCTCCTGGATTTAAGTGATTCTCCTGCCTCAGCCTCCCAAGTAAGTAGGACTACAGGCTTGTGCCACTATGCTCAGCTAATTTTTTTGTATTTTTGGTAGAGATGGAGTTTCACCATGTTGGCCAGGCTGGTCTTGAACTTCTGGCCTCAAGTTATCTACCCATTTTAGCCACCCAAAGTGCTGGAATTACAGATGTGAGCCACTGTGCCTGGCCCAGACTAATATATTTAAACTTTTTTTTTTTTTTTTTTTTTTTTTGTAGAGATGGGGTCTTGTTATGTTGCACAAACTGGTCTTGAACTCCCGGCCTCAAGTGATTCTCCCTCCCTGGCCTTCCAAAGTGCTCGGATTACAGATATGAGTCACTGCACCTGGTCCAGTTTGGCAGGTTCTTAAAAAACTAAACATACTTTTTACCATTTGATCCAGCAATTACATTCTTTGGTATTTACCCAAATGAGTTTAAAACTTGTATCCACACAGAACCTGCACTGAGATTGTTTATAACAGTTTTACTTATTAATTGCCAAGGTTTGAAAGCAACCAAGATGTCCTTCAGTGGATTAATGGATAAATAAATTGTAGTACATCTAGACAAATAGTATTCAACACTAAGAAGAAATGAGGCTGGGTACAGTGGCTCACACCTGTAATCCTAGGACTTTAGGAGGCCAAAACAGGCAGATCTCTTGAGCTCAGGAGTTTGATACCAGCCTGGACAACATAGTGAAACCCAGTTTCTACAAAAATACAAAAAATTAGCTGGGCGTGGTGGTGCCAGTCTGTAATCTCAGCTACTTGGAAGGCTGAAGTGGGAGGACTGCTTGAGCCTGGGAAGTCAAGGTTGCAGTGAGCCAAGATTGTGCCACTGTACTCCAGTGGGCAACAGAGCAAGACCCTGTCAAAAATAAGTAAGAAAGAAGAGGGGAATAAAAAGAAGAGTATGGTGGCTCACCCCTATAAATCCTGCACTTTGGGAGGCTGAGGAAGGCAGATCTACTTGAGGTCAGGAATTCGAAACCAGCCTGGCCAACATGGTGAAACCCTGTCTACTATATATACAAAAATTAGCCGGGCCTTGCGGCAAGTACCTGTAATCCCAGCTACCCAGGAGGCTGAGGCAGAAGAATTGCTTGAACCCAGAAGACGGAGGTTGCAGTGAGCTGAGATAGTGCCACTGCACTCCAGCCTGGGCAATTGAGCAAGACTCCATTTCAAAAAACAAAACAAAACAAACAAGAAAAAACAAGTAGCTTATAACAGCAAATTTATTTCGCAGTTATTGAGGCTGGAAGTCCGAAGATCAAGGCACCAACAGATTCAGCGTCAACTGAGAGCCTGCTTTGTGGCTTATAGATGGGGCCTTCTCACTGTGTCTTTTGTTTTTGTTTTTGTTTTCACTTTTTTTTTTCTTTTTCTTCTTTTTTTTCCTCACTGTGTTTTTATGTGATGGAAAGGGCAAGGCAGTTCTCGGGAGCCTCTTTGATAAGGACACCAATCCCATCGTGACCTAATCACTTCCCAATAGCCTTAACTCCTGATACTATCACATTGGTGATTAGGTTTCAACGTGAGAATTTTCAGGAGATACATTCAGACATAGCAGCTACATATTGTATGAGTCCAACTATCATGTCTTACAACCACGCAAAATCTATAGACTGTGCAACGCCAAGTGTGAACTCTAGGGACTTTGGTAATGATGTGTTAAGGAAGAAGGTTCATTGGTGGTAACAAATTTGTCCCTCTGGTGAGGGATGCTGATACTGGGGAAGGCTGTGTGTATATAGGGGTGGGGGTATGTAGGAACTCTCTGTCCTTCCCTCTCACTTTTGCTATAAAGGTATCCTAAAAAGTAAAGTATATATTTTTTTTTTTTTTTGAGATGGAGTTTCGCTCTTTACCCAGGCTGGAGTGCAATGGCGCGATCTCGGCTCACCGCAACCTCCGCCTCCCGGGTTCAGGCAATTCTCCTGCCTCAGCCTCCTGAGTAGCTGGGATTACAGGCACACGCCACCATGCCCAGCTAATTTTTTTGTAGTTTTTAGTAGAGACGGGGTTTCACCATGTTGACCAGGATGGTCTCAATCTCTTGACCTCGTGATCCACCCGCCTCGGCCTCCCAAAGTGCTGGGATTACAGGCGTGAGCCACCGCGCCCGGCCTAGTAAAGTATATATTTTTAAAAAGCATAAAGAGAACAGGGCATCAATCTCAAGCCCTTTCTCAGTTTAGCAGATACCTTGCTCTAGAAATACTGATGGGTTGCTTGATTGTCCTGAAGGCAGCTGGGCTTCAGTTGATGCATCCCTTGAAATAAATTGATTTTTTAGATAAACAGTTGAAACATTCCTGTCTTGGCTACAGGTTTATGAACCATGGTTTGTTCATTTTGATCTCCTCTCTTTCCTTCCAGGACAACCCTCCGTATGATAAGGGGGCCTTCAGAATCGAAATCAACTTTCCAGCAGAGTACCCATTCAAACCACCGAAGATCACATTTAAAACAAAGATCTATCACCCGAACATCGATGAAAAGGGACAGGTCTGTCTCCCAGTAATTAGTGCTGAAAACTGGAAGCCAGCAACCAAAACCGACCAAGGTAAGACATGAGCCTGTGTCTTCCTCGGAGCGGGTCTTTGGAGATGCTGCTCTGGGGTGGGGCTCATGGGTCCCTTCTGATGCCAAATCAGACAAGAATCCAGAGAATTGCTCCTCCCTTACCAGGTGCACTCAAAATATAGCTGAGGTCCCGTCAGACCTTGTGGGAATGGCTCTTCTCAGCTGAACTTTTGACCTATATAGGGATTGAGGAAGCCCTTCCAGTGCTCAGCCCTGGGCTGCTGTCCCCAGTGGGAACACACGTGGACAGACAAGCCCAGTGGCTTGCTGCTGGTGCAGAGGGGTGCAGGCACTGATCCCTGGAAGGGATGAAGGACTGTGGGGCTGTCTACAGGGGGAAGGGAGAATGGGATTTAAGGTGGCCTCACGCAGTAGTTAGTACCTGGACTCAGACGTGAAGGAAGAAGGGAGGTTGAAGAGGGCCTTCCAGGCTATAGGAAGGGCATGAGCCAGAGCTTAGTGGCTCAGTGGGTGATGTGAGGGGAGGGGCAGAGACAGATGCAAGGGCAGTGTTCCCAGATGAAGGCACATGGTTGGCTTTAGTGGGCCTGAGATTCCCTGGAGTTGAAAGTGGCTGTGTGTGGTGCGAGTTGAAAGTGGTCCGTGTGTGGCTGTGTGAACATGCACATGCTCATTCTTCTGCGAAGAGTATTTGAGTCAGGATTGTTGTTGTCCTCCCTTTGTCCCCTAGAAGTCGCTAAGGTTTGTTAGGGACTGTGTCTAGTTTTCATTTAATTCCAGACTTTCTTTTGAAGTCCGAATCTGATATTTTTGGTGGCTTTCTTATAAGTGCCTAAACCAGTATAAGTTCTGTTTAGATTAGAGTGGATGAAGCTGGCACTTGTGAGGCTGCAAGTGGAGGGTTTCTTTTGGGGGCTCTGCTCTTGGGTAGGGGCTCATGGGTTCCTTCTGATGCCAGATCAGACAGTCCCAGAGAACTCCTACCTTACCAGGTGCATGCAGAGTATGGCTGAGGTCCCACCCGTCCCTATGGGAATAGTTCATCTCAGCTGAACTTTTGACCCGCACAGGGATTGAGGAGGTCCTGTGTTTCAGTGACTGAGAAAAGCCCTGGAAGGTGGAGTTGAAAGCCTTTCACAAGAAAAATCAAGCCTCACTTGTAAATAATAACCATTAGACTCCCACGCTGAGTAGAAGAAAGCAGTGGGTGCTGAACATTCAGTCAGGGCAGAATAGTCTTCAGCGGGCTTCATACTTGTTTGTGTATAAGCTGATGTTTATAAAAGCTTGACACAGTTCTCAGTACACATGGCCTGGTTTTCTTTCTTTTTTTTTTTTTTTTTTTGAGACGGAGTTTCACTCACGTTACCCAGGTTGGAGTGCAATGGCGCGATCTCGGCTCACCACAACCTCCGCCTCCTGGGTTCAGGCAATTCTCCTGCCTCAGCCTCCTGAGTAGCTGGGATTACAGGCACGCACCACCATGCCCAGCTAATTTTTTGTATTTTTAGTAGAGACGGGGTTTCACCATGTTGACCAGGATGGTCTTGATCTCTTGACCTTGTGATCCACCCGCCTCGGCCTCCCAAAGTGCTCGGATTACAGGCTTGAGCCACCGCACCCGGCACTGTCGAAAACCTATAGATGCATTTGATCAAGAGTGTTCAATAATTCCTGGAGTCCTTGCTGAGTCATGTCTGTTAAACCATGCCTGGGGAGTGGCAGTCCTCCAGGCCAGGCTGCCCAGGAAAGCCCTGCACCTCAGGCTCTGGCCATGAAGAATTCTGGGACTCCTTCCTTACCTATAGACTGAGAGGCGGGGGCCAGGGCCATAGAGGCTCTCAGGAGATGGATGCACATGCTTTGTACTTCTCATGGGGCTGCTGTGTAGAAGGCTGTGGCAGGATTATTCACATTTTTACCTTCCTATCCAGGTGCATTGCCAAAATGCTTTGCTTTTTCAGACTGTCTGCTTTTTTTTTTTTCCCCCAAACAGCCAAATAACTTAGGGGCAACTTTTTATTTTTTTGTAAAAGATACTATTGACTTGGGATTTTTAAGGTAAAATTTTTGATATAGGAGCTATTCTGTGTGCCATGATGGGCAGAACCAGAATTGCTATTCTGTGATTTGGGACAGTTGAGGATTCCTTCCTAGAACATAATTATTTAGATTGTTTGTGGCATGGCCTTGATTCCATCCTCACGTACATCAAGAATGTTGTTCCTGGCACTTGACGGCCACATTCCCATGTTTGTTATCTGTTACTGCATTACAACCCTGTCAAAACTTTGTGGCTTAAAGTAACACCAGTTTATTATTTTTTACTCTGGAGGTTGGCTGGGCTCAGCTGCGTGATTCTGTAGCTCACCGTTTGTTCCTGGAGTCACTCATGCAGCTGTATTGAGCTGGGAGCTCAGCTTGGCTGGGAAGTGCTGGTAGGCATCACACACATGTGTAGGAATGGTGTTAGCTAAGGCACCTTGGTTCTTTTTGTGTTCTCTTATTCTCCACAAAGCTAGATTGGACCTCTTCATAGCAAGGTGGTCTCAGGGTTCCAGGATGAAGACACAGAACTGGTACAATGTCACTTCCCCTGGATTCTTTTGGTCAGGAAAGTCCAGATTTAATGAGAGAGAAAATAGACTTCAGCTCTTGATATGGGAGGAGTGGAACTCTGCAGAGGGCATGCAGGATGGGGGACGTGATGGCAGAGGCGAGCAGGCAGGCAAGGACGCTGAGTCCCCTTGCTGACTCCTCAGGCCCACTTGGGCCTGCCTTTCTCAAATGGCAGCTCTTCTGGACATGCCACTCCTCCCATCTGCCTGATTCTTCATATGATGGGCATCCCTGTTTCTCTGGTGCTATTTCCTGACTGCTAGTTCAACCACCACTGTCTTGCAAAGCTGTCTTTTTAAATGCCTCACCATTCCTTCATTTGTTTCCTAAATATGGGAAGTGAAAGTGCCACTTGAGGCCAGGCATAGTGGCCCATGCCTGTAATCCCAACATTTTGTGAGGCCAAGGCAGGTAGATTACTTGAGCCCACGAGTTTGAGACCAGCCTGGGCAACATGGTGAAACCTCGCCTGTACCAAAAAAAAAAAAAAAAAAAAAAAAAAGGGAAGAAGAAGGCGGCGGTCAGGCGCAGTGGCTCACGGCTCACGCCTATAATCCCAGCACTTTTGGGAGGCTGAGGTGGGTGGATCACCTGAGGTTGGGAGTTCAAGACCAGCCTGACCAACATGGAGAAACCCTGTCTCTACTAAAAATACAAAATTAGCTGGATGTGATTGCGCATGCCTGTAATCCCAGCTACTTGGGAGGCTGAGGCAGGAGAATCACTTGAACCCGGGAGGCAGAGGTTGCAGTGAGCCAAGATCACATCATTGTACTCCAGCCTAGGCAACAAGAGCGAAACTTTGTCTAAAAAATAAAAGGAAGAAGAAGCCACTTGTGCTACCCTCCTGCTGTAATCTTCCAGTGCTCGTCCTCTGTCCCCAGAGCCCTTGCTTATGATTTTCATCTCCTACCCTTGTCCTTAGAAATGTCAGCATTCCCAATTATGACCTCTCAGATCTAGCCTTGAAGTTCTTTGACTTCCTCAATTCACAATCTCTAGCTCACTTTAGCCATCCGCAAGTACAGAAAATTAAGCATAATGGAATAAATGGTAATGTGAAAAGATGCTCATATGACCCAGCAATTCCACTCCTAGCTATATCTACCCAAGAGAAATGAAAACATGCCCAATAAAAACTTGCACACAGATGTTCGTAGCACCATTATTCGCAATGGACAAAAAGTGGAAAGAGCCCAAATGTCCATCCATTGGTGAGTGAATAAACAAAATGTGGTGTATCTCTACAATGAAATATTATTTAGCCATAAAAAGCAATGAAGTATTGTCTCATAGTACATAAACCTTGAAAATATGCTAAATGAAAGAACCATCCACAGAAGGCCACATATGATTTGATTCCACTTGTTGAGCCTCATTGTTCACAGATTCTATGTTTACGACTTTGCCTACTCACTAAAGTTTTTTTTAGCCCCAGAATCAGTACTCTCGGGACTTGTGGTCAGTCACAGACATGTGCATCTGCAGAGCAGCAAAAAAATTGAAGTACCCCATGCACGTGTTCCAGCTGAGTGAGGTTGTGTGGTTTAGCAGTGCGATGCCCTCCCTTCTTGTTTCAGCTTTCTACTGAAGCAAGTTGTCTCTTTAATGACACACGTCTTGCATTTTGTGCTTTTTGTTGATGATTTTGCTTTGGCCCCCAAATGTGGTGCTAAAGTGCTGTCTAGTATTCCTGAGCACAGGAAGGTCACAATATGCCTTCTGGAGAAAATACATGTGTTAGGTAAGCTTCATTTGGACAAGAGTTACAGTGCTATTGAATCAGTATTACCTATTAAATAAGGTGTTTTTAAGTACACATAAAACAAAGTTATATATATTAATCACTTGGCAAAAATTTGAGCGAGGCTTGTTTGAACCTAAACCTTTGTTTCCCTTAGGAGCAGTAATTCAGTATCATTAATTCAATGTTCATGGCAAGTTTATAGAACATAAGTACTACAGATAAAGTTCATCTGTATGTGGGATGCTCAGACTAGGGTGGATCCACTGAGAGAGAGAGTAGTGATTGTCAGGGTGATTGACAGGGTCTAGGAGGAGGAGGAGAATAGGAAGTGACTACTGAGAGTGGGTTTTCTTTTGGGGCTGATGAAACTGTTTCAGGCTGGGCACGGTGGCTCCCACCTGTAATCCCAGCACTTTGGGAGGCCAAGGCAGGTGGATCACCTGAGGTCAGGAGTTCGAGACCAGCCTGGCCAACATGGTGAAGCCCTATACCTGCTAAAAAATACAAAAATTAGTCGAGCACAGTGGCAGATACCTGTAATCCCAGCTAATTGGAAGGTAAAACAAAACAAAACAAAAAACCAAAACAAAAACATATTTCTTAGCACATTCCATGGAAGGCTATAGCATTGCATATCTTCTTGGGTAGGGAAGGTACCATTGACATTTTATTCTATGAGAATGAAGCTCTCTGGTTTTTTATGAAAAGGAAGAGGGAAATTACAGATACTGCTTACTTCCACTGTTGCAGAGAAACTGTCATTAAGAACAAAAGGTGCTGGGCGAGGTGGCTCAAGCCTGTAATCCCAGCGCTTTGAGGCCCACGCAGGCGGATCATGAGGTCGGGAGATGGAGATCATCCTGGCCAACATGGTGAAACCCCATCTCTACTAAAACTATAAAAAATTAGCTGTGCATGGTGGCATGCGCCTGTAGTCCCAGCTACTCGGGAGGCTGAGGCAGGAGAATTGCTTGAACCGAGGAGGCGGAGACTTCAGTGAGCCGAGATCTTGCCACTGTACTACAGCCTTGGTGACAGTGCAAGACTGTCTCAAAAAAAAATAATAGGCCGGGCG